TGGGAACTTTAGCAGCAGGCTCCTGTGGGGTAAACGGATGTGACCCTTCTAAGTGTTTTATGGAAATTTGTACCGAATTAAAGTACCACCGCAAGCTACAGCAGCGACCTGTGCTTTCAGCCTTCAGCATGGAGTGTGGCTGTAGCGAGGCATGGATCAGGCAGTGGTATAGGCTCCTGCTAGAAGGGAATTGCCTTCAGACTGCCAGTCTGCAGGATGGTCCCAGGAATGAATTTCACCTGAACTCCGAATTTGAAAATCTTGTGTTCAGGCTGAGCATTTAGGCTGAGCACTTGAACAGGGTTTGACTCGATGCATTTGTTTTGGTTTTTTTTTTTTTTAGTTTGTCGCTGATGGTATCTTCAAAGCTGAGCTGAATGAGTTTCTGACTCGTGAACTGGCTGAAGATGGGTACTCTGGAGTAGAAGTCCGGGTAACTCCAACCAGGACTGAGATTATCATACTTGCCACCAGGTAACTGAGATGCTGCTGTTGACTCACAGGTGCTGTACAAGGCTATAAGGGATGCTGCTGCAGGCTGAAGCTTAAAGTGGTAAATGTTATTACAAGAAGCTACTTGGGAAAGAGATCCTGAAGTAATCTTTAGTGATGCAGCAGTGTTACAACCCCTGAACTTAAGTTAGACGCTCAGTCTGGAAGCTCCTTGGGGTGGTTACCAGCTCAGACATGGTGACACTTTTCTCAGTTGTACTGTACTTTTTTTTTCTTTCTTCCAGAACTCAGAATGTCCTGGGCGAGAAGGGGCGACGCATCCGGGAGCTGACGGCCGTCGTGCAGAAGAGGTTTGGCTTCCCTGAGGGAAGCGTTGAGGTAAAACCGTCTTGCTTAAAACAGTAGTAAGTGGGCCGTGCAGTTAGGTTTCTGCACTGTCTGGATGGTGTCAGCTGAAAAGTGGTTTGACTAGAAGATAACTTGGGGTGTGTTTTACCTGTTTTCACAAAATACTCTTGCACTAAAATACAAAATGCTTTGCTGTTTGGTATTTTGAACACTGTCACTTCGGCTGGTTTTCTCTGATTTCCCAACAGGGAGGATGCAGATAAAGCTTTTTAAACTTATCTGTAAATATTTTATAGAGAGTGTTGCTGTACCCATATGGAGGTGAGAAGTAGTCTCGTGGCATAGTGTTTGGTATTTATATGTCACCATTACCCTCATTAAATTCATAATGCTTCTGTCCCTACAGAGAAACTGTTTTGGTGTGGAAGGATCTTTGCGATTTTTGAGTGGGTTACTGTAATGAATTAGACAGTAAAGTGACACAACAATAATTTCCTGCCTTTTTAATGTTTGAAATCTGATGCCCTTACTAGTACTTTCCTCTAAAACAAATCAGGTGAGGGGAGAAAATGTGTGGTCTGGGGTGGTGGCTCACGTTTTTATTCCTGCTCGGCCAGTGTTGCTGGATCACCCTATACAGTGAAGATTGCTGATTATCTCCAGCAAATGCTTAAACATACTGAATGGCACAAACCCTCACGGAGTGCATTGTGATTTGTCAGCTCTAGGAATATTGTGTGCATGATTTTGAATGTCTGCCACTTCTGAAATATCAGGCTGTAATCTCTTGGAGATGTTAGATTAAATACACCTCACTCTCCCAGCTTTCAAAAATCAAACCTTTTCTTAGATTTGATTTTAAGACTTAAGCAGATTTACGTAACTTAACATGTTGTAAAAACTATATCTCAAAGTTCTTGGGATGTACGGATACCTCTCTTCAGTGTTACCTAATGTTGTGGGGCTGTTTGGAAGCAGCAACTCTTTGAGACTGCACCATAGATGTTTTAAGAGTCTCCTGACTTTTCAGTGGAGCGTTATCAGTGTGTCTCAGCTCTGCCAGGAGTGGGAGACAGGCACCAAAGGAGTTAAAGGAGTGTAGTGTCTGAGGATAAAGCTTCTGCACGTGTATGTGGAAGGACTAACTGAACTGGGTGTAGAGGATGGGGCATAGAGTAGCATCAAGCTCCTGTGGTCTATTAAATTAAAGCTATCTTGAAATACAGCCCTGTTTCTGAGTTTACTTCTTTTCCTTTGTAGCTCTATGCCGAAAAGGTGGCCACGAGAGGTCTGTGTGCAATTGCTCAGGCAGAGTCCCTGCGGTACAAGCTTCTGGGAGGTTTAGCAGTGCGTCGGTGAGTAGAGCAAGTGGAATATGCCGGCACGGTGAGGAAGTGTGGGATTCAAATACCATTTCAAAAAAACCTCCTTGCCAACTTATCTTTAGTTTGAAAATTTAACCTAGTAATGCTGTGCTTGGAGAGAGCAGCTCATATTTTTGATAATTCTACCATATAGAAGTCTTTTTACTTAGTACACAGTTTTGGTAGCAATTGCTAGATAATGTATTTTAGCCGTAAAAGTTGAAGTCTTAGAGTACATCACATCACAAGCAGTCTGACTGGTATGCACAAAGCTTGCATTTATTTCTTTGTGACTAAATGAGTGGAGGAGTGAAACACAATTTCAAGCCCTCTGGCTGAGTTGTAGTTCAGGTGACAGTGGCCTCACTTCTCAGATCCCTTCGGTGATGATAAGATGACGAGTCAGAAGCGGGTGATTCTTGTTGCAGTACGTCTGCAGTGTCATGTTCTGTGATGCTGTGGATGGTTCTTCAGCAGGAGCATCCTGTCATCATTGAATGATTTAGAGGCATTTGTCTGAGAAGGGATGGGGACCTGCACTCCTGAGGTGTGTGGGTTGGCCACCTTCAGCTGCTTTTGTGTCACAAAGAATGTTTGCTTGTTGCTGTTGGCACAATCTTCCAAAGACCGTAAGTCACTAGAGTTTTGTTAGGCTAGGCTTGACAGTACTAAAATGTTACGAAGGTTTTTACTACTTTGTGTAGCATTGGCAGAGCTTTGGTTGCATGATTCTGCATTCAGAAGGATTTTTACAAAGGTTTGAAGTGTGATTGTGCTTGAAATTGGTGTAAAATGCCACCACAATGCCCCGTGGATTTGCAGAGTGGGGGTAATGCTGTGGCTGGTCTCTCCCCGCAGAGCCTGCTATGGTGTCCTCCGCTTCATCATGGAGAGCGGGGCCAAGGGTTGTGAGGTGGTTGTGTCCGGCAAACTCAGAGGTCAGCGTGCCAAATCCATGAAGTTTGTGGATGGCTTGATGATCCACAGTGGAGACCCGGTGAATTACTACGTCGACACAGCCGTGCGTCACGTCCTTCTCCGGCAGGGTGAGTGGCTGGGATGCAGATCCCTTTGCAGCTCTGTTGGTTCCTTCTATAAGTACTTCAGAGACAGATGATCTCAGTGCCTGGTGTCCTGTGCCTGCAGGTTGGAGCTTTCCCTCTGTTCACCTGTGGGGTGGTAACTCACATGATTTTGATGCACTGCTGATCTTGCAGAGTGGTTCAATTGTGCTACCACTGGTACCACTCTCAAAATCTGTTGTTTTCTTGGGCTTTTGCAACTAAGAGTTCTGAAGTAAACTTTGTGTGCATTTGTGTTATGTACATGGGAAATGGAGAATGGGCCTTCAGCAGACAACAGAATTTTGTGTAGTCATCCCAGGTCATCCACGTTTCTAGTGGTGGGGAGATTGTATGTTTCCAGTTGAGAATGTGGCTTTAGATTTTCCAGTTACTCTCACTTGTGTCCTGAGGTTGGTAGCAAAAGAACTTATAAATGAAACATAAATTGGCTGAATTTAAGAGCTATTGGCAGTTTGGATTCTGGCTCTCTTGGCTCCTAGGGACAGGCAGAACGCGGGTACTACAAGACCCATGAAAAATCAAGTGTCAGACAGTTTTCCCTCATTGCTGTGCTCTGTCAGGTCTTCCCAGCTAAACCAGCCAAGCCTGCTTACACTTGTCCTTCCCCCTGGTAAAACACAGGTGACTTCTGTGTCTTAACCGGCTTCGGGTTACTTAATCACAGAACACCTCCTGTAGGGATCCTAGCATAGACAAAAGTATTCTCCACCTTCCCTTCAGTGATGATACGATGACGAGTCAGAAGGGATGTCCTTGTGTCATTGCAGCCCGTTCAGTGCCATGTTCTGTGGTGCTGTGCTCAGGCTGCCTTGGGCAGGATGTCCTATTCATTGGATGATTTAGAGGCATTTGTCTGAGAAGGGATGCAGAAAACCAGTGCAATTTCCTTGGAAAGTGAGCTGAGTTATCCCGGAATAAAACCACACCACAGGGTTTGAAAACCACATCATGGCTTAAGGATATAGCATGTTTTCATCATAGTCCCAGGCTGCAGTTAGCAAGGGCAGTGAATTGGATAAAGGTAAACACACTGATGTAAATTGACAATAACTAGATTTTTAGGCTATAGCACGTTTGTGTTAATCAGCTTGCATCTTCAGGGTTGTCAGGAGATATTTTTGGTACAGATAGCGTATTTTGTAACCTTGGGGCTTGTCACTACTGAATGTGTGTTTGATATTTTGTGTTGAATGAACATGTCTGTGTTGTCCTGTCATTCTTTGCAGGAGTACTGGGCATCAAAGTAAAGATTATGCTGCCCTGGGATCCAAGTGGAAAGATTGGCCCCAAAAAGCCTCTGCCAGACCATGTCAGCATTGTGGAACCCAAAGAAGAGATCTTGCCCACCACCCCCATTTCAGAGCAGAAAGGTGGCAAACCAGAACAGCCAGCCATGCCTCAGCCGGTTCCCACAGCCTGAGGGGTAAGCGCCTGCGAGCGGTGGGAGGTAGCTTTGGGGAGGGTCCGTGCAGAAAAGGTGTCATGTCACCAAAAAAAGCTGTCAGGTAGCTGGGGTACCGGGAAGAAAAGCTGCTGCGTTGTACCAGGTGGAGTGATCGGCTGGGTTAGGTTTAGAGATTGCCCTGGATGAAGGAGGCATGGTTTAAGGCAAGCTGCAAACCAGCTAAGCACACCCTTCAGCGAGGATGAGATGACAAGTGTGAAAGAAAATGTCCTTGTCCAAGTGCCCTGTTTCTTGTTGTGTTCTACAGCGTGGATTTGGGGACCTTGGGTCACAATTTGAGTGACTTGGAGACATAGGTCTGAGAAGGGTTCAGTGCCTTGGATGTTGTCTTGTCGTACCACCTGCTACCAGTGTGCAGTTGACAGCACAGGGTATATGTTCCTCACATACCTCCCCTCATGGGATCCAGTTTGGGATAGACTTAGAAGCCAATAATGTTGAGCACAGTGTGTGTAGGCTAGTTTTGTAAGTAAATAATCAAGGTTTGAAATCCTGTCTCCCTGAATGGGTAACTTCTGAGGCAGAAATTGATAGCTTGAAATTGTCTGAGACCTGCTCTGGGTTGTTCCCAGTGAAAATGTGTAACTCGCTACGGGGAAAAGGGGGATCATTGGCTAAAATGCAAGAAGTGGGACATGCCGTTGAATTTGAAAACTTGGAGCCTGTTTGTTTGTTCAGTGTTTTGGGTAGGAGAATGGTTATGGGGAAATGGTTTGCCACCATCTCACTCAGTATTTTGTTCTTCATTATAGGGTTTGTAACATCTGCAACCAGAAGCTTGACTGTCCTGAAAACATCTCTTAATAAAATCACAAAAGACAGTGTTTGTGGAGGTGCATTTTTTTTTTCCAAGTTGTATTCCAGGAAAGCCTTGCTCCCACCTTTGGTGTGGAAGGAATTCTATTGCATTTCTTCCAGCTTGCGTTATCCTTTTGGAGTGAACTTACCAGATCCCAATCTAAACAAAGTGCGGACAAAATGCTGATCTCTAGGTAGAGCTGGAGCAGCAATCCAGTCTTTAGGGGGTCGTGAACTGGAGTCGTACTGGTAACTCTTCACATACATAGCAGTCCCTTTCTCTGAGGTTTCCAGAAGGGGGAGGGTTTTTTTAGCAATGTCCAAAGCAGTTTCAGTAGTTTATACCTTTGTGGCTTCATCTGAAATATTACTATATTCTACTAAGTGCTTTTTTCACCTCTGTGCATCCATTTCCCTTGTCATTAAAAAGACTTTCACTGTGTGACTTTCAGGGCTATAGACCATATAGGAACATTATAGCTCCTGTTAGGGTCAGGTGACCTTAGTGGAGATGATATGGGGTGAGACAAACTTCTGGTATTTACACATTAGAGGGGGAAAAAAGTGTATGCTCTGGATTTCAAACCTTCCGTCCTAAGCTTTGAGATGGAAATATATTTAAGCGATTGGGGGAAAAACTTACCTTCCTTTGAGGCTTCAGTAGACAGTCTGTTAATTTGTCACTGTATTAATAACTGGCTTTGAGCTGTATGATAACATGTAGATCCTGAAGTTGATAATAGATGACAAGGCTACTTATGCTATTGAAACGCGTAGTGTGTAGGCAAGGATGTGTTTCCACTTCTGTTGCTGTATGAATTACTTTTCATGCTGTTCTTCTGCAGTCAAGCTGAAGCACTGAAGCAGTGAGATTGAGCAGTTAAGTTTCAGGCAGAGATTCTAGTTCTGTCAGCTCCTTTCCCAGTATGTTTTTCAAAGTCTGGTGCAGTAGTGAGAGAGATCTCAGAACATGTTGTGTGCAGGATCAAGGCTTTGTTCAGATTTCTTGAAATTCAGAACCTGTTTGTTGTATTAACAAAAATTGTACAAATTTGCAAGATTTGCTGCTTAGGAATAACTTTGACATCCAGATTTCCATTTTCAGGAGGTTTCTCTGCAGGAACTAGGCAGACAACATATGAACTGGAATTTCAAACTGGCGGTGTCAGGAACTGGTCTATCTGGCAGGGTCTGTGGATGTGTGAGCCTCAGCTTTCCTGTTACCAGCTTCTCTGGCAGGCAACCCAGCCTGGCAGGGTGCTGGCTGGGAAGCTGGTCAAGTCTGTCAGAAACACATGTGCCTTCTCAGGGTGTCAGAGAATGAGTCTGCTTTCAGGTTTCTGTGCACATCTTTCAGTGGAAAGCTTTAAAAAAAAAAAAGTTATTACATGTTAAGTGTTACAGTTAGTAATGCCAACAATATTTTTTTAAAAATGAATTTGAAAAAAAATCTGAAAGAAAAAAGTGACAGATAAGCTTTGTCACTTTATAGGAGTAGGAAATGTGTGCAAGCTGGAAGGCCTGAAGTGCGACACATAATGCAAGGCTTTGTTGTGCAAGAGATTGAGATGTACAAGTAGTGTGTTAGAGTGGTATTGCTGTGCCTCTCTTCTTGCTAGAGCCATCGTGTTTGAGAAGTTGAGGACAACATCAAGAATTATCCTATAATGGTCAAGGTTCGCGTGTGTGAACCGAATACCTTTCTAGCATGCATGGTTGGAGCACGCCACCACCACGAACTGTTTGAAGAAGCTGTCAAAGGAGTAGGGGGCTTGTTCAGTTCCCTGTGTCTTGAGGGTGCCATTTTCCCTAGGATGAAAAACCTGAGTATTTAAAGCTGTTTGCAAGATGAGCTTGGGGGTAGGATGAACTCGGGAGCACTGGAAAGGTTTTAACTTAGTTGCAATATTGGTATTCCAGGTTGATGGCGTTGCTGGGGTGCTATGGCTAGTGCTGGAGATGGTGCTTCTAGTTTGGTGCAGTGAAAGGCTGTGATCTGGCAAGCACCTGGTGCTTTTTCAGTCTGTGAGGAGCTCCACGTGGATGTCCGTGCCTGCCTGACCCAGACACGTGCTATTTTGGCGTAGGGAAAAGGGGAGATGTCTGTGGTGTTGGTTTTGCTCATGACTGAGTGGCAGACGGCTGCATGCATGAACGGGGACAGCAGGTTAATCCCTTTCCAGCAGTGGAAGAACATGGGCCAGCAGAATCTGATGCTGCTGGATCTTCCAGCTGTGCAAGGTGTATTTAGCTCTGTGGCCACAGCAATGGTACAGGTTCTTGCAGTTCTTTTTCCTCTGTTTCCCTCCACTGGAGCCCAGGTAGAGCAGCTTTGGGTTGTAGGGTCAGGAAAGCTGGTCCCTCTGGCTAACAGTTCACTTTTTATTCCTGTGCTGCCCTATTTTAACAGCTGTTTGCTGCTCTGTTAAATGGCAGGGCAGGGCAGTAGGTCCCTTACCTGTGAAGCATTAAAGATACTTGCAGTTTCAGGAGAAAAAAATTAAAACTGAAAAGCCAACCTGCTAATAGTGTTCCTTTCCAGTGACGGATGTGCCATGGGAATTCATCTGTTGTGTATTAAGTGTAATTTTTGTCCATAATTATGTTAAGGTGTATTATAGATGGCAAGGAATGTCTCTGAAGCTCTTCTATAAGAGTAATTTGTCTCCACCCAAACCCTGCAAGTGACTGTGGCCGCCAGAGGTTCATTGAAAAAGTTTTATTGCAAAATTATACAACTGTCATTGTGTGGTACAAGAACAGACAATAAAAGCCATCAGACGCCTGCATCCACATGATGCAAATTATTCACAATATCCCACAGTGTGTTCTTGCCTTGCCCACC